CCTGTATTCATTTTTGCCAGATAAACTCTAGAATCACAAATTACATTTTGGATAAGACCAAACATTGACTTTAAATATCCTTTCCCTCACAGGTACCTACAGACACCGAAAGTGATCCTAGATAGGAGCCTGCAGTTTCTAATCTCTTAGTGTCATTCCCGAAAGAGAAACTGACGTAAATGTCTGTGGGGGGGGGGGGTGGGGAAGAGGAGGAGGAAGAGGAGGAGGAGAAGGAAGGCGGCCAGCATCTCACTAAAGAAGTTCCTCCATTTATTTTCAATTCATGAAATATGTTCAAAGTTTGCCAAAACAAGCTAACTCCACCCTACTTCAAAAGACAGTAAAAGCAGTAGTTCCCAATTATGTTAATCTCAGAATCCTATTGTTAGTTTCATATGCTATTGTTTATTTTTTAAGGTATTTTAAGAATATGGGCATCACCACCAGATCCAGTAACTGCAAATGTGGAAGTGCTGAAATTGCTAGCAAGAAGAGATGATGAAGAGATGGAAGACAGAAAGTGGTCAAACAACTTCACATAAGTACTTATAAACATGAATTATTTATTATTGTTCCCTCTAGTAATCCAAACTATAAGTGACCTCTAGAACTAGATTCTCTACTCAGCTATATATTAAATACCAAATTGCTAAAGGAAACTTTAAAACACTCGTTTATATTTTAAAAGCCTCATAGTGATTAAACATTGTTTACTTGATTTATATTTTAGAATTCAATAAATAAGACTGATAAAACTTAAGTGACTTAACTTAGAAGAATTATTACTGTAAAATATTAATTTTCCAGCTCTCCTGTTCACATTCTTTCTAGACAGACCAGACCCCTTATTATTAGCAGCTAGTTATTACAAAAAAAAAAAAGAAGAAAGAAGAAAGAAAAAGAAAGAAAGAAAGAAAGAAGAAAAAAGGTCAGGCTTTGGAACCAGGAAGACATGGGTTTGAACTCTGGTACACCACACCCTGAAAACAAACTTTCCGAAACTATCTTTACATCTCTAAAATGGGAATTTACTAATACCTACCTTGAAGGACTGTTATAATTAGTGAAATATGTGTAAAGCAGTTGGCACATACTAGGAACTGAAGAAACTTTAGCTGCTATTATTATATTACTACTCATAAGTACATCCAAGAGGAGATATAAGAACAAACATGATAGGGTTTGTTCTAGGCTAGGCTACACTTAACTGCTACATTTAACTGCCGCAGTTAAACTGCTACATTTAACTGATAAAACAAAACAAAACAAAATCAAATAAACACAACTCTGATAGTTCATGTAAAATTTGGAGCTGAACTTTTTTTGTTCACAATTTAAGTATATAATATTGTATAGCCCCTCTTTATAAATGTGTAAAATCTAAATCAGCTACAGATCCACTTATTTTGAAACTAAATAAAAATGAAAGGTTATTATCACACAATAAAACAGAATAACTTTATGAACAGGTTAGACGATATCATCACTGGGGTGGGGGGAATGCGGAAACTAAGATTTTAAAAGGCTTATGAAAGGATAGTAAAAGAGTCCTACCTTTAAACCGACTGCTATAAGATCTGTAACAACACTGTATGGAAAAAGTAAAAAGAGAAAATGGAAAACAAAGTTAGAGAACAAGTTTTTAAAAGACAGAGATAATAAAATTAAAGAAAAAAGAAAAGCATTATAATAATAAAAATTAATAAAAATAAGAATGTGATGAGTTGTGAAATGTTAATGCAAAGAAAAGTGATGGGACAGTCTAGCAACAGCAGAGTGTAAAAGCAAAGCTTTCACTACAAGTAACAAATAGTAAATCAAATTATTTTAGTTTTTATTAAAGTATAGCTGTGTGTCAATAAGTAATACGTGTTTATCCATTTACCTCTATTTAACAAATCCAAATCAAAACTCAAAATCGCCAAAGTTCATTATTTTAAATCACTAGCCTCAATTACCATGTTTAAGATTTTAAGTGAAATTTTAAGCTAGTGAGTGGCTTTTAAAGAAATAGAAGGTATCTTGCAAATTTGCATCTACCACCCAAAACAGCTCACCAAAATATAGCTAATATAGTCTCTCAAAACTAAAATAAATGCAAATATCAAATTTCAGACATGAAAATTTTCAAAGATCTGCTTTTTGAAAAAACTCCACCACATCAAAACCGTGTTTAAGTATAAATTATCTCAGGAGGAAATCAACACGTTACACACACACACAAAAGACAGTTGGGATTTGAGGAAGAACTAGAAAGACAGACTGGACTGGTGGTTTGTTGTTTCTTTTTTAACTATCCAAAATAATGAAAACGGGTCTTTTCAGGTTGTGGGAAAATGCAGAAAGTTAACGAGCCTCCTGAAAGCAAACATTCACTGTGTTCAAAACCACATCCCTTAACCCCAAGGTGTATAAACTCCTACAAACTTCTTTCCAAACAAAAATCTATCTTTTCTCATCCCAAAGAAATCATCTGCAGTAACAGTGTACCTATCTCCTAAGAGAAAGCTCCAACTATATTCTATATATTGTTAATAACCTATAATGCCATTACTTAATAAAAGTAAACAAATTAAAAAAAAAGTAAACAAATTTATGACGCTAGATTGTTCAATGATGCAAACTGCTTTGAAAAATAACCATGTAGATTTTTTTATTTTTCCTTACGGACTTCTGAAACTTGAAATTCATTTATCTGAAACTTAAATTTAACAAATAACCCGTTTGTGCAGAGAAAATAAGATGGTACTGGTCCTGAACCTACCTTCCAGAATGTCTTACTGCCCCACATACTTAAACCAACAAACTCATTCTTAGCTTTAAAACCATATATAGGATGAAGAGAGTTATTACACCATCTGAAAGAGCATGTTTGCGCTTCTCAGTTACCCAAGAATTTAACAGCCGAGACGCAGAACCCGAGTCCTCTTTGTCATCACTATAAATTTTCCAACACAAAAAGCTACACTGCTTCCCCAGCTCGAGTCCAACCGTCTAACGACAATGCCTTCGACACAGGGAGACACTAATTTCACAGCCTCCCTGAACTGAAATATCGGCGTCATCACACAAATAATGAAAACACCCAACTTTGCACACCTCTGTGCTGTAACCGAATGAGGTGACGTGAAATCAGAGAGTTTTCGACAAACGCTCTCGGAAAAGTTTCAGAAACTAGAGAATGAAAATAGCTTCAATTAGCTTAAAACGAAACACAGGACATCACCACCCTCAATGAAATCTGCAATCGCGTTCTAACGCCCGCAGCCGCGTGCAATTAGCGTTCAAATGAGTTGATCTAAATACCACACGGATTTAATGTCACAAAAGTAGATAAATGAGGTCTAACGAAGGCAAAAACTGTTGGAAGATCCCATTGTCTTTGCACAGACAGGAGGGCAACAGTCATCAACTAGATGGTAACACGCACACGGCTCTTACCGTTTACGCAAGTTCCACGTATCCTACGACCTAGGGATTTGCAGATACCTTGTCCTCAAAAAGCAAGTAAAAGGCCAGACAAAAACCTCAAATACGTAAGGAGAATAAGTTAAGTGGACGTGCAAGCTCTAATAGAACTGGAGAGGTCTTAAAAACCTTGAGATACATATGCCACCTTCAATCCACCAAGACCCTAATCCAGCCGTTTCTTGGAACATGAAACGATATGCCAGGTCCCACGCCATATCCCTGGGTCCTCGGAAATGTTTCTATCAGTGATCCCGTATCTGTTTTGATCACGGACCTCGTTAACTTTTAGAGCGTCTGAAAGCTGCCCGAAAATTGCAGAAATTCAAGAAGTTTCTTTGGGGGGGGGAGGGGGGCCGTGGGGGGGGGCGGAGTCCACGGTCGCCAGGTCCAGACTCCCGGTGTACAGAGGTCGTGCGCACAGCGCGCAGCCCGGGTCCGAGACCGCGGCGGGCGGGACCCCCCCCCCGAAGCCCCCCCCCGCAGCCCCGCCCCGCCCGTCGCCCCCCCCCCGCGGGGCCCCCCCCCCCCCCCCCGGCTTCGCGACCAGGTCGCCGCCCAGACGTGCCCCGACGCGTGCGCTCGCCTCCCCGCCAGGGGAAGCTCCGGCGCTCGCCCCACCTCACCGGTAAACAGCAACTCCCCGAGCGGGAGCACGCCCGCCCCGAGCGCCGCCTCCGCCTCCCCCAGCGCAGCGCACCATTTTCTGAGAGGAAGTGCCGGCAGGCCGGGCCGGGCTCCCCGGACCCCGCGCGCCGAGGGCGGACCCCGGCGCCCGGCGGCGGCACCGGCTTTCCTCCGCTTCCGGGTGCGAGGCTGTGAAGGGGCGGACATTACGGGGGCGCCTCGGGGGGCGGGCGGCAGGAGAGGCGGCGGCGGCGGCGGCGGCGGCGGCCCGCCCCTGCGATGCGGGGCGCCCGGAAGCCCCGCCGTCGGGCTCGGCCGGGGGGTCGCGCGTCCGGCCGCGGAGCCGAAAGGAAGCGGGGCAGGCGCAGCCGCTGCGCCTCCGAGGACTTACCCATCCATGGCCCAGACGGAGGAGCGCACGGCGCGGGGACTGACGGGCTCACCGCGAGCGGAGGGCGGAGGCGGCGGCAGCCGGGCGGCTCCGGGGACGGGCGAGCGGCGCCTCTCCGGAGCCCCGCCGGCTGGGAGGTGGAGGAGAGTGGGAAACAGGGGCGGAGACCAGGGACGCTCCCGCCACCGCCGCGCCCCCGCGTCCCCACCCCGCAGGCGCGTCCCCGCCTCGCCTCGCCCCGCCCCCGCGCGTCGACGCCCTCCCTCCGCCCCGCCCCCCGGCGGCCTCCGGCTCGGCCCCAGGGCGCCCTCTCCAGGCCGCCGCCCGAAGGCCCCGCCTCCCGGCCTCTGTCCCCCGCGCGCACGCGCGCCTCGCCCCCGCCTCCCGCCTGCGTCCACGGGAGCGCGCGCCTTGTGCTGCCCGCTTCGCCGCCCCGCCCGCGGGCCCCGCCGGCCTTCCCGCCCCGCCGCCGCCGCCGCTGCCGCCGCCGCCGCCGCCGCCCGCCGCCGGCTCGGACCCCGCCGTCCCGCCGCGGGGAGAGCGCTGCAGACCCGGCCCTGGAGCGTAGGTAGGCGTGTGCCGCCGGGACCCCCGAACCGCGGCAGGCTGGTGGGCGGGGCTGGCGGGGGCGGGGCCGCGCGCACCCGGGGCCCTGCAACCCCCGGGGGGGCTCAGGTTCGGGACCCCGGCGGAGGCTGCCGGGGGTGGGGGGCCCCCGCCCGGATCCTGGGAGTCGGCTGCTGGGACCGCACAGGCCCGATGGCTGTGGCTGGATTGAAAGGAACGAGACCGCCGGAACTTGAGGACCTCTCGGGGGTGTACAGCCTTACAGTCGCTGGCTGCTGGGTTTGAATTCATCTGAAACACTCGTTGCACAATGTGCAATGGCCACTATGTTGCCAGCATTTTATATAGTTTTGCATGTCCCTCCGTATAAAGCGACAAACAGGGCGGCCCGGGTGGCTCAGCGGTTTAGCGCGGCCTTCAGCCCGGGGCGTGACCCTGGAGCCCCGGGATCGAGTACCCCGTCGCGCTCCCTGCGTGGGGCCTGCTTCTCCCTCTGCCTCTGTCTCTGCCCCCCACCCCTCTCTGTGTCTCTCATGAATAAGTAAATAAAATCTTTACTTAAAAAAAAAAAGAAAAGCAAATCCTACGAGGGAGAGAGTATTCCTTTTTTTTTTTTTTTCAGATGAAAATGTAGACACTGATTGAGGTGCCCACAACTTCACAGCCGTCAGAGCCCCTTCCTCTCGTCTGAGCAAAATTATGCATATAACTAGTGGCAACTCGCTTGTTTTCCCTTTTATAGTTTGTCTAGTTCTAAAATTCCGTGATTCTTCAATTCACAGATCATCAAAACTTGAGCCACTAAACGCTGTCCTCGACCAAATTCCTAACCTGGGTATTAAGAGGGGGGTGCTCCCTCTCAGCCTCCTCATTTGAAAAGTAACAAGAGGCTCCATCCTTTATCCTTGCTAATATATCCTGCTTTTAAATAAGTAGGTGCTACTAAGACGACTTAAAACTGTCGGTTCATCCATCATAAAGTCATTATTTATTGAGTGTTTACTATGTGCCAAGCCCTGCAGGTATAACCAAGAAAATCAGCTTCCAGCTTTTATGGTTGAATGGATTCCTGGTTCACTTTATTCTTGCCCCCCCCCAAAAAAATTATTTTTTCAAATAGCTCAGGTCTCTGGGACCCTATTTTTAAAAAACTGTATCTTACTCCAATCGCTCTTCCCAAAAGACGAAGTGTATTTTGTATGTTAAATCCAAGTATTAAGTTGCAGTTGTAAACATTGCCACCCCACATTGCCAGATGGTTGTTAAAAATATGAGCAAGACCAGTCCTTGATGCAATCTTGATATTGTTGTTTTGGAGATATAGTCTGTTGATGAAATGTCTTTAATATGTTTTTAGCTACACAAGTAACATAAACATACATGCTCCTTTTGCAAAATTGAAATAGTATTAAATATTAAAAATGTATGGTTATATTTCTTCACAACCTACCCCCTACCCATGATAACCAGTGCAAAAATTCTGTGAGCATGCTCCTAGACCCTCACCATTTTTATTTGTTCTTTTTCCTTAAAAATTCTAGAGATTTTTTCATAGCAGTACTTTTCATCTACTCAATTTGAGTTTTTTACATTTCTTTTTATTTTCTCTTTGTAAGTAAATTTTTTTCGAATTTTTATTTTAATTATCGTTAGTTAACATACAGTGCAATATTGGTTTAAGGAGCAGAATTCAGTGGTTCGTCACTTAAATACAACATCCAGTGCTCATCATAACAAGTCCCCTCCTTAATACCCGTCACCCATCTAGCGTAGCCCATCTCTTACCCACCTCCAACCATCAACCCTCAGTTTGTTCTCGACCATTAAAAGTCTCTTTGGGGGGGTTTTAAGGGGTCAGTTGGTAGTCTGCCTTTGGCTCAGGTCATGATCTCAGGGTCCTGGGATCAAGCCTCAAAGCAACCTCACAACATTAGCATCAGGCTCGCTGCTCAGCAGTCTTCTGCCTCTCCCTCTGTGCATCCACCCTGCTTACTCTCTTGCTCTCTCTCCCGGTTAAATAAATAAAATCTTAAAAAAAAAAAAAGTCTCCTATGGTTTGTTTCCTTCCCTCTTTTTTCTCTCTGATATGTTCATCTGTTTATTTCTTAAATTCCACATATGAGTGAAATCATATGATATTTGTCTTTGTCTGATTTATTTTACTTAGCATAATACACCCTAGCTCCATCCGCATCATTGCAACTTAATTCATTTTAATACTGCATAGTATATCATAATTTCATGTACTGTAATTTATTTAACCTTTTGCAAAATAATGGAAGTTTACATTGTTTCTAATTATTTGAAATAACAATATTGCAAAGATCATTGTATATGTATGAGCATCTTTGCACACATGATTATTTCCTGGAAGAAATTCCTAGAAGTAGAATTGCAGAACAAAGGGTATAAACATTTTCAAATTTGATAAATACTGCCAAAATGATTCCAAAAAAACTACCACTTTACATTTCCTTTATTCAAAGAACAGAGTTGTCTTTTTCTTAGTCCCATGCCTTAAGATAGTTGACAAATACCAGTAGTAAAAAATAAATGTGAAGTCAATCTGAAACTCATATTACTAACAATAACTGCAGTCTCCCATGTAAAAATAGTGTCCCTGACTAAAATGAACAACTGATGTTTCCTAAAAACTTAACATCCCATTTTACAACAGAAGCCTAGATAGAAGAAAACAGCTCACAACAGAAGCAAGGTAAACCTTGCTGTTTCCCTTGCCGCTTGGTCAGAAATTCAAAAGACTTTTTTGCTGAGTAAGCTCCCTAGATTGGTAAATCCCTCTGATTCAGAACAGTGGACAGAATGGAATTTAGGTGGTCTTAGACCACTTTTAGAATCCTCGCTATTCCCGTAGTCCATATGGCATGGGAAAATTACAGTCTTCTATAATCTCAGCAAAAGTTTCTGAGTTTGCAGAATGTTGGGATATCATCCACATGACCTGTCTTGTCATGAGAACTTGATGTTCTACATAGCAGCTTTTTGATAGTGAAGAGAGTAACATGTTATCTATTTACTGAATGTGCCTTACTTTTGAAAAGTAACATAGTTTTGATAACTTAGTTTATATATTTTCTAAGGTTTTACTTCTTTGTGTTTTTGTTCTAATTTGTCTAAGAAATTCCCCTGAAACACCTTCACTGAGAAGAGAGGCGGCCACACACACACCCAGTTATGTTTGGACAAAATGTAACCTTCGAACCTTTGCTTTATGGCATTCCAGTAAGCAGTGACAGTTAACATTTAACTAATATTACCCTATTTGTATTTACAGGTAAGGCTTCTTAAGACATCCATGTAATAGATGCTAGTATAGGTCAAAAATAAGATCAGCCATTAGGTGAATCTGGAAAGTGGACATTATAATATTTTATCCCCTGATAAATACAAAAAATTATAATCATTAATGTGTTCCTTAAAATAGAAACATCTGGAATTGTACTGAGGGAAAAAAAGCTAAATTCAAAAGGTTACATTTTTATACCATTCATATATAATATTCTCAAAATGAAAAAACTCCAGAGATGGAGAACAGATTAGTGGTTGCCAGGGTTTAGGAACCGGGGTGGGAGGGTATAGAAAGACAAGAGGGTGGATGTGACTGTAACAGAGTAGCAAGGAGATGTTTGTGGCAATAGAATAGTTCTGCATCCTGATTGTGGGACTGGTTATACAAGTGTACACCTGACGAAATTGCATAGAATTTTAGACACATAAGTGCATATAAAACTAGCAAAATCTGAATAAGATTTGTGGATGTTGGGATGCCTGGGTGTTTCAGTGGTTGAGCATCTGCCTTCGGCCCAGGGCGTGACGCTGGGGTCCTGGGATGGGGTCCCATGTCAGGCTCCCTGCATAGAGCCTGCTTCTCTCTCTGCCTGTGTCTCCACCGCTCGCTCGCTCTCTCTCTCTGTCTCTCATGAATAAACAATCTTTTTAAAAAGATAAAAATAAAAAAAAAGATTTGTGGATGTTACTGATGTCAATGTCCTGGTTTTGTTACAGATAAGATGTTACCATTGGAGGAAACTGGGTGAGAGTACACAGGACCTCTTTGTACTGACTTTTCAACTTAATGTGAATCTACAGTTATTTCAAAATAAAAGAAATCTTGCAGAATGTTCCCTTAACACTTGTTATTTGTTCAATAGTTAAGCAAAGCAAACTTCAAAGGCTTAAGAAAAATGTGTGGGAGTATAATTCATATTTTTCAGACTACATCACCTTAGTCGTCAAACTGGGTTATAATAGCTTACACACACGGAGTCTAACAGACTGCCCGATCTATTGAACTGTGAGCCTGAATTTAAAGTCCTATCTAAGGGCACCTGGGTGGCTCAGCAGTTGAGCATCTGCCCTTGGCTCAGGTCATGATCCCAGGGTCCTGGGATCGAATCCCACATCAGGCTCCCCACAGGGAGCCTGCTTCTCCCTCTGCCTGTGTCTTTCCCTCTCTGTGTGTGTCTCTCATGAATAAATAAATAAAATCTCAAAAATAAATAAGTAAAGTCCTTTCTAACTGAGGAGACTTGAAAATTTCTCCTACTGACTGACGTCTCCAACTAGGAGTCATGTTCATTTTCTTTGACCTGTGCCTGACCCTGACATAATCATCTCCACATGAAAGTCTGCTATGACCAATGCCTGGTTCAGGGGACTCCAAAGTTTGCATGAAAGGTGCAACATGTCACCTATCACTGTCCTAGAGTAGGAACTGCCAACCCATGTCAAAGTTGCATTGGATTTTCCAGAGCACTTTTCTGAAAGGCGGAATTCCTTTCCCTTATTTGTCATACTCTATCACCTGGGTCCCACTGTCCCTCAAAGTTTTTATTTTTTTATCTTTTTAAGATTTTTTTGTAAATTTATTTTTTATTGGTGTTCAATTTGCCAACATATAGAATAACACCCAGTGCTCATCCCATCAAGTGCCCCCCTCAGTGCCCGTCACCCAGTCACCCCCAACCCCCACCCACCTCC